CTCATGGATTTTGTAACCGTGGATACGATGACAGAAGATAATGGAACAATATTTGCATGCCAAAAGCAGGTAGCTTGACTCTCTCGCAGTAGATCACAGAGATCACAGTAGTAATTTGCATCTAAGTTCTATATATGATAGACGTTGTAATAAAATTTGAACCTGACTTACATCTAATATTACTGACACTCCACGTTTATAAACATGATGATTGAAATCAAACTGGGAAGCCAAATTACTAGCTAATATATGGATATACTAAAGAAATTTACTGGTACTTTGTATTCCCCACACTTCCGAAAAATTCAGACTATCAAATGTGCAAATACCTGAATGAAGCATAAGGAATGTTCCTCAATGTGGGTTCATTATGAGGTTAACCCCAAAGTATTGGCATAAATCGATTCCACAGCAAGGTAGGATGCCCTGATCAATACAACCCATTTACGCTGTAACGTATGAAACTTTCTTATATGCCTTCATGTACAAGCAAGGAACTAAGCAGTCCAGTGATGCTTGTATTGACTGTTGCCACTTATATAGACCCTTGATATGTAGAGAATGCTCATTCAAGATGGTGGTGTTTCGCTGGATTTTGTTAAACTAGTGTAAAACGTATATACTGTAAAATATTTTATTTTCACTAAGGATTTGTTTTTGCTGAAGAGATAATTCAGTGAAAATAAAATCCAGTGAATACAGTACCAGGTATATCATTTTCCCTATATTTTACATTCAACTCATCAGAAATCATTGAAAATAAATTCAAGCTAAAATAAAATGTTTTACTGTATATCATCTGATACACATGTAATAAAAATATTGCAGCCTGAATATGGATGTTTGTGTCCTCGCACAGAGAGAAAGTACATCAGGCAAAATAGACTCTTGTGCTCGTGTGTGAATGCTCAGTAATAAATACTTGTAGTACTGGTACTGTCAGATGTGTATAACACATTGGGTTATCTCTTCTTATTTTAGTATTACAAATGTGGAGGTGTTTTTACTGCTGTTACTCTTAGCTGTCTTGTGGCTTATGCTGCGTTTACGTTAAGTATTACATCGTGGAGAACAAAGTACAGGGTGCAGATGAATAAAGCTGACAACCAAGCTGGTAATCATGCAATTGATTCGCTTATAAACTATGAAACAGTCAAGGTAATTATCCTATAGTGAGACAACTATCGATTATATGGGATTATTCCTATTATCGATAGATGATTTTTTTTTAGTCACTATGTGACTAACACTGGATATTGGTTTTCTTTTTTATGGATCACCAAATCTTACTTGACATGTAGGTGTAAGTGGCGCCCTCGACGACCAAACGGCATCAGACACTACTAATGCCTGATAGAATAGTGTATGTAAATCATTATGATCTACCGGTATACTGCAAATTCGCAAAGTTCATGCTTTCTTGCAATGAGTTTCAATGAATATTCATTTAGGTGGTCGTGGTAAACCCGTCAATCAAAGCTGTGTTTGCATTGTCAGCGTAATCACAGACTGTTTTCAACAAGATGATAAACATTGGGCGAAAATTTGCCAGAACCTTATCACACATTATGTCAACAAACAAAAAAACTCTGCTGTGAATACTCCTTGATGGCTGTCACTATCTGACGTTCCTGCAAATTCATTGGTACCGTCAAAACATCGTCGGGGGAAGTGGAAAACTACATCGTTTTGTCAGGTGTGTGTTGCATTTGGAGCACCATGGAGAGTGCAACTCACGTGACTTTGTCAAGCTACACCAATCTCATGAAATTAACATACCAGTACCAGTAATATTTGACAAGATATGAGATGGTACTGTTGCAACAAAGACATATTTATTTGACTTGATCTAAAAATGTTTGAGTAAATTTGAAAGTGTTTTATGAACAGAATGCAAATTATTATTTTGATCTCAAAACAAAGGCGATTCTGCAAAAAATATTACTGGAAAGGGTGGTCAAATATTAAAGACATGGAGTCTTTTATACACACTATCAGGTTTCACGTATATTATGCCTTGGGACTGCCTAAGTGGTCACTATAGGCATGTTGCCTCCATATAGAAGTGGACACTAACACAGACAGCAACTGTAATTTATCCTGTGAGATAGCAGTTTTCCACCACTGGTATCAGACTTTTACAATATCGAATTTGCATCATAAGGTCTACATGTATTTATCTGAACATTCATGTACCCCCAATACTGACAAATTCCGATATATTTTCCCGAGGTTATCACCTGATACCACAAATAGAGCTGGTACTAGATACAAGTGACATCATTAGCTGTATTATTCATGAACTGAAACAATGATGTCACCAGTATCAGCCAGTTCTGTGAAAAAGTGATATCAGGAGATGACCTTTTTCCTCAGTGATCGTCAGTGCCAAAACAACAGAGAAATTGTGATTTTACTCAACTACGCTTCCGAATCCTATGCTAGTTTATGCTAATTAAGTGTTCCGATGATTATGCATATATATCCCACAAATGTTTTTCAAAATCAGCAGAAATATTTCTCTTTTTAACAATATATTATTATTGTGAATGACATGCTTTATGTATGTGATAATTTGTATTATTTGAGTCATTTTCTGATTTTCATGGTTTCCATGGACATCCATCAAATCTGTGTGTGGTGATGTTGGTCATGTTAAAAAAGGTCAATCTGTGTTTCTGTAACAACTCGCATCAATTTAAACCAATACATTTTGTTGTTTTAAATCAACAACAAAAAATACAACTTTGTGTTCAATTTTCTATGGAAATGCATCACAACACATGAATTTTCTGTGAACCATGGAAGTGCATCTAAGTTGTGTTTAATTTTGTTAACACTGAATACAGGTGAGAAACAACGATCAAATCAATTAACCTTGCCTCAGAAAAATGTACTTGAGTGTGTCTCCTGAATCCTGAAATTATTCTAGTTCTGGTTGATTGTACAGATTTATTTACTCTTTCAATGTATTTATTTAGGAAAGGTCTTGCATGTTCTGCTAGTTGTTGTTGTTACTATGTAATTTCATTATATTATATTATATTATAATATTATTGAGGTATGTGTGAAGCTCGAAATCCACCGGTATGCACCAGCGCATTTCTCAAATTAAGCTTTGTGCGCCCCCTAGTTGGGCCATCATTCTGCGCCGTATTCTGCGCCTTATTTCTATCCCCACACAGACCTCTATTATTTTGTTCTGTATTTCAGAACTATTGCTTTATTAAGGGATTTTGATCAGCTTTTTGTTTTTTAGGTCTAATTAATAAAAATTTCTTTTTTTTTATTGCAGTACTTCAACAACGAGAAGTATGAAGTTGAGCGATATGACAAAGTGCTATCAAAGTATGAAGATGCATCCCTGAAAACCACCACTAGTCTTGCCTTACTCAACTTTGGTCAGAATCTTATATTTAGTGCATCACTAGCTACTGTTATGGTACTAGCAAGTCAGGGAATAATAGCAGGTCAGTAGCATAGCCAAGTTTTTTTTGTTTTTCAAAATGACTGGCCAGCTTAAACTGGCTCTCCTGAATATGGTTGTAAGTGATTTGGTGGGAGTGGGGGTGTTTAACTTTTTCACGACCAGACTTTCCTCAAATTGTTCTGCACTTCTTTTCTTATATTCTTCAATATTTCTGGAAATAAACCCTAATTTTGGAGATATTAGAGTCAATTTTCATTTTTTACTCAAAAGAAATTGACTATTTTTAACCCAGTCTTCTAAAAAAAAGTGCAGACTAAAAACAGGACTATTTTGTGAATTTTTGATGAAAAGAGGGAACTGGTGATGAAATGGTTAAAATGTATGATATTAAAATTTTTTCAAAATCATTTAATTGAGGGGGATGATAATTAGCTCTCGTGGAGCATGATTTGTCAAGCAAATGATCAGTGAGTAGAGTACCGGTAATCACAATCACAAGATAGAATGCCCTAATGGTTATATATACATTGTAGTTTGTTAGTCCAGAGTTTGAATCAATTCTCAGTCTAACGTATTATTTTGAGCCACAATTTAGCAACTCTATAGTAAAGTATTTCCTATTTTCATTTATTTTCCTATATTTTTTCAGATAATTTGAGACCAAATGGTCATAATTTCCTATTAGCTATGGATCTTGATTAAAATTTAAAACTGAATAGACCGCTGTAATCACTGTGTTTTTTTCCACTCAGGTCAGATGACTGTTGGTGACTTGGTCATGGTCAATGGATTACTATTCCAACTGTCATTACCATTGAACTTCCTAGGGAGTGTCTACAGAGAAATCAGGCAGTCATTGATTGACATGACAACTATGTTTAATTTATTAAATTTAGAATCACAAATCAAGGTAAAGACAATTTTACTTGTTATCAATTACGTGGGAACTTTACAACATCCTCAGACATGTACATGTACATCAGTGATCCTTACATGGTATGGAAAATACTCACTTACATGAGATTTAAAAATGGGCGTGGCTATTTGGTGCAAAATGTCTCATTTTTTCAAGCAGGGTGAATGGGTTCTGTCAAATAAATACCAAACAAGAAATAAATAGATGGGTACAATGACTGTGATTTTCCTATAGGATTAATTCCTAGATGATTTCATACAATCAAGGCTCTTGAGTCAATAACTAACAAAGAATGGTTTTTCAAAAATTCTCCAAACCAATGTAATTTTAACATATTCTTAGGATTCAGTTACAATTTTATTTGTCTCTTACACACTCCAATAGTTGCATGTGGATTTTTTACCAACAATAATAATGGAATAGTCCAAATATGCAGTCCCCACATCAAATCTTGTACTGCGGTTTTGTAACCAGCTTCTAAAGTCTAGAAACATGTGTGGAGGTGTTGCAAGCTGAGTTGGTCTAAGGGATTCTGGGATTACGGTCACCATATTTAAATATATTAAGGACAATTGATTATTAATTTATCTATACAACTGAATTTAGTGCCAATAATTTTAATTTGAGTTCTTCTTTGTCTTTTTTATATCAGGATGAACCCAATGTACCATCACTATCAGTATCGCCAGAAGAAGCAAATATCACTTTTGAGAATGTCAGTTTTGAATATCAGCCAGGAAAAAAAATTCTTAACAACATGTCATTTACTATTCCAACTGGCAAGAAGATAGCAGTAGTGGGTGGCAGTGGATCTGGGTAAGTTTAGGGTAAGATAGTGATTGTAGGTGGCAGTGGATCTGGGTAAGTTTAGGGTAAGATAGTGATTGTAGGTGGCAGTGGATCTGGGTAAGTTTA